AGAGAGAGAGAGAGAGAGAGAGAGAGAGAGAGAGAGAGAGAGAGAGAGAGAGAGAGAGAGAGAGAGAGACGAAGAGAGAGAGAGAGAGAGAGACGAACGGAAAGACATAAAGAGCATACCTTTTCTGCCGAACCTGCCACTTCGACCAATCCTGTGCAGATAGAGTTCATAATCTGGTTCCCATGTTCCCATTTTCACCGGAATGTCATAATTAACAACCAACGTAACCTGGCAAACAAAACAAAGTCGCACTCCATTCTCAGAAAAAAAAAAGGTGACAGAACACAAACCCCTCCATCTCCAGGGGGGGGTGCAAGTGTTCCAAGCCGAGGGTCACAGGAACAAGATATAGATAAGAAGACCTTGCAGGGCTATCTATAGCAGGGCCTGCTCCAAGCCACAATCCACTCATCTGGTGAAGCCAGGTAGTCATGCACACTCTACCAATACAGCAGAGCATCATCGCAACTTCAGAGAAACTTCTTCTCCCCCACCGAGCTCACTACCATCTTCCCGCAAATGAGTGGATTGAACTACCTCCCTCTGCTCTCCGTAAAACTGCAAACCTCTATTTACTCCACGAATTGAAATTTGAAAAACTTCTGCTGCCCATATCCATTTGAAATACCTCTGCTGTCCGTAAACATGCAAAACTCCATTTTCTTCCCGTGAACCCCTCTCCACATCGAACTATCCACACAACTTCAGAGAAACCTCCAGGGAAAACATTCGTTACGCAGCAGTCCCACCGCTCGCTACCATCTTGCCGTAAGATGGAACGAACGGTCATTCTAGTTTTTGGTCCTTATCGCAAATGGAAAGAACGGTACTAGGGGCAACTTTCAGTTCAAACTGCAATACAGCGATAATAGATAAGGACCCAAACTTTCTATATTCGGTGGAAGACGGCTTTCAAGGAATTCTTTTTTTTTCTTTTCTTTCTTTTTTTTTTGAAATTTCGACCATTTCTTGTATTCACTTGTGTCATATCCTTGAATGCACAGGGGGCATTTGCTAATTACTCTTTTCTCTGTATCGTTCCAATTTTTTTTAACAGATGTCCCCAATGTCCACAAGGACTGTTAATCTTAACGATCAGCCTCTCTGTGCCTGCGATGCACATTACTCTGTCTTGTACGTGACCAAAAAAAAAAGGGTCAATCCACCCACGTTCATGTCATCGCCACATCGGCGGCAATTCAAGTGCTGACCCTTCGGTGGGTCAATGCTTCAAAGCTCAGACCACAGCATGCAATACCAAGCGCAGAAATCGGTCATTTATTTCTGGTCTTCCTGCAGGAAGTACAACACCACAGCAGGAGTAGAGTAGAACATGCACTTTACCAGATAGGTAGTCGAGAGAGAGAGAGAGAGAGAGAGAAAAAAAAAAAAAAAAAAAAAAAAAAAAAAAAAAAAAAAAAAAACCGGCAGATAGATAGATAGATCCGCATTATGATAAAAAAAAAATATATATATATATATAAAATAAAAAAAAATAAAAAAAACGACGACAGATAGATAGATAGATCCGCATACGATGAGGACACAGAGCAAAGGACTTGCGAGATCACCACATGCTTTGGCAGAAAGATATCCCCGATGAAATTCAAAGCCAACTACACATTCATCGGATGTCGTGAGAGATCAATCAGGCTGCCTGCAAACTCCAACCACGCACGCTAGCAGGCTTCCATGGCAGGCCACAACTTTCCATGGAAGACCCAGAGAGAAGGCAGAAAAGGCAAAGAGGCTCAGGGAGACATTGGAAGCCAACTACACATTCGTCTTCGACCGAGAGAGTTCAAATCGGAATTTGCCGCGTAAGACGGTCGGTAGGTTGATGGATCGTTCGGCGGATCATTTGGGTTGTGGTATCGATGGTGGCTTTTGAAGAGTTTATACTTCAGTATAACTCACTTCCTCGTGTACATGCACATGTAGATGAAACTACTCCAATCTGTTCAGTAGTCGAAATATTTCCGGCAGCTGGTTGGTGGGAACGAGAAGTACGTGCTGTGTCGATCATTGCTGACATCTCGTGTGTATCATCGTGTGGGATTGTCTCCTACTTTCTGTTCATATACCTCAGGAGACTAACGTGTTTTCTAAACCGTTTGTTTTTTTTTTTGTTTTTTTTTTTTGACTTCGATCGGAGCATTTCTTAATTTCAGTGTGTCAGCCTTGTGCACGAACCAGTCAATCTTCTTTATATCGTTCCCGATTATATAGCGGAGGACAGTTAGACATTATCGTGTCAATTCGAGCCTCTGGTCTGAGGTTGAATGCAAAAAGGTATGATGGGACTTTCAGTGGTGTAACAAAAAGGGCTAATAGAGATTTAAAGGGGCATATTGTACCTTCTTTCCTTTTTTCTCTTTTTTCTTTTTTAGAATTGTGGTATTTAAACCGTGTTTTCCTATTTTTACTCATCTGGAATTTTAAATTCAAACTCAGGTCTGTATTTCAATTTCCATCAGTTCAGAAGTGTACCAAGTACGACCAACTGATATAGCCCACTTGGTTATTTATTTATTGTACTGTTTTAGTGGATTCATTCTTGTAGATTTTGTTTTTTTTTTTAAGGCTATTTTTTGGTCTTATATTTCTCTAGGAATATGACAAGTCGAAAATAGTTCGCATTTTTTTAAATTAAAAAATATTAAAATAACAATAAAATTTTCACATTCCGATTCTGGACAACATACATTCTTTTCCCCGCCGTTTCTTTTGGAAAACCCTGAAAATTCTCCAATGGGGCTCTGGAGATGTGATTTTGGATACCCTCAGATACATGAGCGACCTGCCTGGCTGGGCTGTGTCCAGCCAGCCTAGGTCCGGGCCTGCCGGGGATGTGTCCCACCCCGACCACCTGGATTAAAAGTCAGCATCCCCAACCTTTCCCCTTTGACGAGCATTGACAGGGTCGAACCCGGAAAAGCGGGGCTTCAATAAAATTGCAAACCATGCGAAAAGCATTTCCAAATCGGCCAAGAACTTTCCAAATCAGGACAGGACAGGACAGATGTTTTCCAACCAGGCAAGCAGCACCAGGCAGGCAGCTTCCCCACGGAACAACTTTCCAAATCAGGACAGGACAGATGTGTTTTTTTTTCCCCAACCAGGCAGGCAGCTTCNACCAGGCAGGCAGCTTCCCCACGGAACAACTTTCCAAATCAGGACAGGACAGATGTGTTTTTTTTTCCCCAACCAGGCAGGCAGCTTCGCCACGGAACAGACTGACAAACAACAAGCAGGCAATGCCATGAGATGATGAGAGTACAAACAAATGGAACAAATAAATCGAACCTCCTTCAAAGTGTCCCATTACTCAAAAGTGTCCCATTCCCATTCCTACCTGTGCCTGATCGAAACCGCGCGCCAACACATCTGTCGAGATTAAGATCTGCAAAACCGCCCAAGCAAGAGGAGCGCACGGCAGACAATGCCATTGTCAAATCAGATGAAAACCTCTGTAATCACCAATAAGAGAAACGGAGTGAAAGAAGCACGATGATGATGTCACATCATCGTGACAAGTATTGCGAACAAATAAAGATGTCACATCATTGCCACACGTATTGTGCACGAATGAAGGGCAACGATGATGTGCCATCTTCATTTGTTCACACGATACTTGTGGCGATGATGTGGCATATTCATTTGTTTTAGCTATGTAGTAGATCATTGCAAAATGGCACATACGTTCATTGCAAGAAGGCCCTCCAGATAAATCAATGTCTTGTTGAGAATTCCAGAGAGCAAAAAGGAAAATCAACGTACCAGTCTCCGGAAAGCGACCTGATACCTTTTCAATTTTTTCTTTTATTCCAGAGCACCCTGTGTATCTGGCATCCCAACAACAGCTGCGCCACTGTCCAGATGGCCTTAGGTCCTTCTTTGGTTTACTTCTCCAAATAGTCACTGTCCAGTGATATCCACTGATATGCTAGGTCTCGTCCAGTGATATGCTACCGTCTTCACCCGAATAGAACGCCCGGTTATTATAGCTGTATCTGGACTGAAAAGTGCACCGAATACGGCTATAACGACCAGGTGTTCTATTCGGGTGAAGACGGTAGGTCTCGTCCTACTACCAGGTCACTTTCCGGAGACTGGTATGTCGATTTTCTTTTTTGTTTTGTGGACAATGTGGAGAAACATCCGACAGTTCAGTGATATGCTAGGTCTCGTCCGACTACCGTTTTCGCCCGAATAGAACGTCCGATCATCATCGCTGCATCTGGACTGGAAACTGTGCCAAAGGCAGCTGTAACGACCGGACAACGGGTGTTCTATTCGACCGAAGATGGTAGTCCATAATCACTCACACACACTTCCACCTCAAGACTTCTCCATTTACGCTTCATTCCTTCCTTCCCAACTCTTTCTCTCACAATGCGGGCGATTGTTCTTTCTTCCCCCAAAGTTGAGCAAAAAACAAAACAAAAAAAAAAAAGACAATCTATGCGCAGTTTCTGCTGCCGCGGGCTGTTTCCCTCCAACCGTGTTTGTGTGCGCACCTTTGTGTTTGTGCACACACGTATATGCCAGCGCACTCTGGGTTCATTGATCAACTGATTGATTCAAACAGGGATAAAAAGAATCGGGAAAAGGAAATAAAAAAAAAAATTGTGAAAATATGTGTGCGTGCACACACAGGTGGGCAAAGGACTCCAATCATTGATTTTCATCCAAAAAAATAAAATTCCATCTCCTACTGTATTAATCTGCATGGCACCACAGGTTACAAAATGTGACTTCAAAAGCAAAATGTCATCAGACCATATCATAATTCTCACAGCAGCAGTGATGGATCCGTGCATCTGGGTCTCGGACCTCCACTGTGCAAGCACGGATTCGAATCGGCGACCTTGGCCAAGTCTCTTAAAACCACCAGTACTTGGGCCATATATCGGCCGCTCCGCAGCTGTCGGGGGGTCGGCCAAGTCCAACACCCGGTAGCTGCAAGAACGGTGGGCAAGTTCGAGTATTTCATAAATAAGAAAAGATGAAAAACATAGAACATTAAAAAAAATAAATTGAAAGCTCAGAATAACAAAAAACATATACAAAAAGAAAATGAGCGTGCACAGAGAGAGAGACAGAGAGATGTGCAAAATGAGAAAGAATCTTCCCACAATCGCAGGTAGTTTCATTCCCATTTCAGCACTGAAAGAAACGCACCGACTCTCTCTCTCTCTCTCTCTCTCTCTCTCTCTCTCTCTCTCTCTCTCCCCCCCACCCCACCCCCACCCCCGCGCACGTTGGGATGGAGAAGGAACTTCGGCCTTTCCTTCTATAAACAAGTAGTTCACATGTTTTGGTGTTTCTCGAACTTTCTCCTTTTTTTTTTCTTTTGTTACAATGTTGTTCATTTTCTCTCTTTTCTCATTTTGTTTTCTGTATTTAAAAAATAAAACCTGTGGTACTTCCAGTAGTGCCAGCCTCGGCAAGGGCCGGCCTACCGTTCGGCAGGCACAGGCTTCGAATCCATACCTGGGCCAAGTACTGCTGGTTTAACCACTACGGCCACAATACGGTGTAAAAAAAAAAGTGGAACCATACCGGTCATGATATCCACACCACCCCTGTGAGGCCGTAGCGTCCACGCTCAGCACAACACCACACGGACACGGCAATTCTTGCACACTTAAGCTGCAAGCAGCACAACCATGTACACTAAAACAGCATACATTTTTTTCACTTAAAAAACAAAAAACAAAAAAAAGTCACAGCATACCTTGGTCTCGCCAGATCGGTATTCTCGAATAACCCTGTCTCTTTCCTCATGCGACATCCCACCCTGAATGGACGTACATCTATGACCATCCTGCTGGAGACTGAACAGAGGAAGCAAGAGCCACGAACACAGCATAAACATTTCATTAACTCGCAACAGAAACACTTTTTTACGAAGGGTGGTAAATTTCCTTGGTGAGGACTTCTTAATCAACTTCAGGAAACATTGGGCAGTCCATCTTCCCCGTTAACGCGCCGCGCCTGTCGGGCATCGGTTCCTTCTGTGCATGTATGGGCGTGTACGGGAGTTCCTGTGAGTGAGTGTTGATAAAATTTCAACAGACAATCATGTTCATAACATCTGTATTCGGCACAACTTTCGGTCCAGATGCGGCGATAATGACCCGGCGTTCTATTCAGGTGAAGACGGTAGTCTTAGCTATTCACGCACAGTTCCACTGACAACGTTACTCTGGGTTCCCTGCCCCTCCACAACGGGGACTCTACTCCTTTTACATTGGCGGGAACCTGACTAACAGATGGCCAAATTACCAAATTAGTCAACAATTGTCTACATCATTTCACCGTGTACTTGAATACACGATCACCACACATATGGAAAATTGCATATCCACCCACTTTAGACCTGACCTCATGATGCTTTTCATCCATAACAGAGGAAAACAAGTGGAAAAACAAGGCGGAAATTGTGCAAGTACCCACTTTAAAGTTTCAAGTTTAAACCACCAGTACAACCGGGCGCGGAGGCGCACCGCTGAGCGCCAAGCTTTGTCAAACCGCCCGCATTGCATTTTTTTCTACTTTGGCTGGCGCCGCCACCCATTGTGATCCAGTAGGCCGAGGCGCAAAATTGTCGGAATAGGCGAAACACTGTCAGAAAGGCTGGGGACGTGTACTGGTGGTTTGGGGGTGGAAAGTGCAATACCATTCTCGGCCTTGTGGCTAAAAATAGATCATGCGTAGTAGCTGTTCTGATCAGTTTAATATCTGATCCATGGGGAGTTAAAAAGTGAAGAAAAGTACCAAAAAAAAAGATGGAACTAGTTACAAAGTGAAGAAAAGTACAAAAAAAAAAGATGGAACTGACCATGTGCTCAGGGAGAACGCCCATCTTGCATCCGTACCCCTCTAGTCTTAAAAAAAAAAAAAAAATGAGCGAGAGAGAGAGAGAGAGACGACCATTGTGGCCAACTCTGGTCCCAGGTGGGTCAATAATTTGCCCGGGGCATATCCATTATTTGCACAGACTGGGTACCCCTATTATTTCCACAGACTGGGTATAACTGCATTTTGCAGCTACCATCTTCTGCAGACTGGGCATGCAAAAGCTTCCCACAGAGCATTTCCAGGGTATACATAGAAGATGTGCACTGGGACCGGGTATGCATGCAGTCCCCGTCTTCGTCGCTTCCCAATAAAAAAGAAATGCCAGCAAAGGCAGTACGAGGGGTGCTGAGGGGCAGGAAGGGGAGGGGGATCATGTTCACTCCCGAGTCCAGACTCACAAAGAGAGAAACGACCAAAAAAAAAAAAAAAAAAACTACAGAGGGACCTACAGAGAGACTGTCGTCAATGTGCAAGCATTGTGATTCACACACACGCCCAAACGGAACGGAAGAGAAAGGTACCTGGTGTGAAGGAAACTCGCATTCTCTCTTGTTCGAACGAAAATAATACTCTGTCCCAGCTTCTCTGCCAGAGGGAAAATGTTGTTCCGCAGAACATCCAACCTGCCCTGGCTAGACGGACACCTCTGTCAAGTCCAGCCCCAGCACAGAGAAAAAAATAGAGACAAACATGAGAGAGATTCTTGCTCTTCCAAGCCCAGACAACGTCCTCTTGGACACATATTACTACTTGCGCAATGATGTACGGGTGGCATCAGTTTCTGACTGTTTTTGCCCGTAATCGACTGTCTTCCCCGCGGCCCACCCGCTCCCCTCCCACCCCCCTTGCCTCATGATTCTAACAGGTTGCAATGACTACCAAAATAGCCAGGAGCTCGGCCATCAAACACATGCACACCCACCCACGCACGCACGCAGAAAAACAAAAGAAAGCGAGGTAGAGAGAAACGTACACACAAGGTGACATCGTCGATAACACAGATGGTCATGTTTCAGCAATGTGACCTCTCAGACAGTGCAACAGGGTTATCAGAATCTTACCACACACACACACACACACACACATGGTGAGTAGAAAGTTCCCAAAACTTTACGGTGAAGAAGTCTACCACACACGCACACACACACACACGCGCACCACAAGCGCGCACACACACAAACACACACTCTCCTGATGAGTCGGTGAAAGTCCGATGAAACAGTCTAGTGTGCTCATGCATTTGTGTGGAGTTGTGTATAGCAAATATGAGAACACACACACACACACACACACACACACACACACACACACACACACACACACACACACAGAAGTAACAAATTTGAGAGCAAAGATGGTCATGGCATAGCAACTTTCATAAGCCTACATGGTCGTTGGGAATGATCACAGAAATCCCATCCAGCGCAACAAGTGTGCAACACACGCACAAATATGTCCCATTCAGAATGATGCTATGGCTGCCTCTGTTCGTTCGCCCTCCAACACTCGTACGATATCTTTTAATTAACCTATCACCGCAACATAAGACGAGAGCCTTGATTCCAACAATGCTTCTTCGCAGGGAGATATCTTCTCCTTGCAACGATGATCGCAACCTGTCCACAGAAATGCAAGCCAGTGCCATCCCATGGAACCATGATTGATTTGAGCCCGTTCTATCCTGCCTCTCAGCATTTCACCTCTGCCCAAAAACACATCCGTCCGCACACTGAGAGAAAGAGAGAGAGAGACAGAGGACTATTCTTTCACAGAAGCGCATCCACAATAAACAGATATCACAATTCCTTTCTCCATACGCTGGATAACCAGGCTATATACATTCCCATGCTCTCCAGAGCATGGCAAGCTACTGGAAGTCGAACTCCTAATCTCTTTTTCACTGATCAAACATGCAGCCCCGCATCCACCTGACTAAACCACCTGCAAGTCACACAGCAGGCACACCTCGCAAACATTCCTGGTTTACTGGTTAGGTTTCCTAGTTATGTTTCCTAGTTAGCCTCCACCTCTACTCACCACTCGATACTGCTTGATAACATCGAGCGACAGATCCTCTTTTGGGACAAAGACCTGTCACACACAACAATACAACAATCAAAACAGCACATTAGCTCAGCATTCATTACCGCATACTCTCTCTCTCTCTCTCTCTCTCTCTCTCTCTCTCTCTCTCTCTCTCTCTCTCTCTTGTCGCCTTTATCTTTCATGTTGCAAAGCACTATTGCTAGCCTATCACGCAGTGGTTCGACATCCACCACACACACAACGGTCCAGCAATGCGATGATCGACATCTGGCCACAGGCCATGTCACTAGGTTGGGAGTCTTTGGACGGAGTGAACACAAATCTGGCAAAGTGACAAAATGGAGGCTGCGAAGTGACGAAATGGAGGCTGTGCTGTAGCAATTCCAGGTCCGATACCTGTTCTTCTTCCCATGTCGCACGTCTATAAGGCAAGGATACGAACCGAAAACCGACCCAAAGAGATATCGAACACAATTACCGCAGTGCAAGACTGATATACCCCGAATCTGCCTCAAATGACATGAGAGTCCAAAAAGTTTGTCAAAACCAATGAACTAAGGGGTTCCGATGCTCTGCCTCTTTTCGAGTCTTTTCTACATTTTCTTCTCCATTCTTCTCGCTGGCTCCATTTTCATAATCCATCCACAAGCCCATTGCAAAGAAACGCATCCAACAAAAGCTTTGACCGACTCCAAAAGAATGGCAAACAATCAGGCCACCCCTCTCCAGATCATGCCACCAGCAAAATCCTGCCACATTCTGTCTGACATACGGCACGAGCTCTCGCTCGGACGGGGAAGAAAAAATCACCTCGTTTGCTCTTGGAACACTGTTGCGAGCAAAGGCCTTCACTCTCTCACTGAACGTCGCAGAGAACAACAATATCTGGTAATTTGGAGACTGTCTCGCAATCATGCTCATAATCCGCATAGAGTCGTCCTGAAAACCTTCCTGCATCACACAAAAGAAAAAAGTCCCAGTCACACACACACACCAAAAAAAAAAAGAAAATGAATCAGACAAGTCTATATAACCCTGGCTGTACCACTTCACTACAAGGCACCTTCAAGCACGTAACCGCCCACCGCAGACTGTTAATCTCCCCCAATGGAAAGGCTCCATGCCTACTCTCTCTCTCTCTCTCTCTCTCTCTCTCTCTCTCTCTCTCTCTCTCTCACACACACACACACACACACACACACACACACACACNTCTCTCTCTCTCTCTCTCTCTCTCTCTCTCTCTCTCTCACACACACACACACACACACACACACACACACACACACACACACACACACAAAGTGGATCCTCCTCTTATCCAAGAAGAATAGATAGAGAGTGACAACAGAACTTTTCCTCTTTCCTCTTTTCCATTTTCTCACCCAGTGAAAGTACTGTAAAGCTTCCCCTAAGGAGAATCCAGGGCCAGATTACATCTCACAGTTCAGTTCAGTTCAGTTTAGTTTCGTTGACTTCCAGTTCAGTTCACTTGACTTCGGATGACTTCCATCCAATTGAGTTTGTCCAGTTGAGTTTCCATCCAGCTGCACCGAACTCAACTCAGCTGAGTTCGGTGCAGCTGAGTTCATATCAATCAACCATGGCAATGGAAACAGAGCATTTCACCACTTGGGAGGCTTGAAAAGGAGGGGGGCAAAAAAGTTTAACACAGGTTCCACTGCTCCACATAAAACACGGAGAAAGAGGGGAGCGGCAGAAGGAAAAGAGAAAGACGGAACGGAGGTTATCAGGAAGGAAAAGAGAAAGACACAACGGCAGTTATCAGGAGTCTTTTCGGACGGAAAAATAAAACTGCAAGGAAGGAGATGAGCAGGGGCACAAAAACAAAAAACAAAAACAAAAAAAAAGCATACCGTGGCGAGCATGTGATCTGCCTCGTCGAAGACCAAAATTTTCATTCTCCTTGCGTCCAGAATGCGATCCTTACTCATCCACCGCTTCAGTGTCCCTGGCGTACCAATGACTACCTGATCCGTAATCTTCCCCCTCCTCGATGCCGAGACTCTATCATCTGCACCTGCTGTGCATGCACAAGTTATGCCTGTGTACTTGGCCATTTTCAGAAGCACCTCTTCATTCTGCACAATGCACAATGCACAAACAAGCACAAGTTAAGACTGTGGACTTGGTCATTTTCAAAAACACCTTTTCATTCTGCACAGTGCACACACACACACACACACACACAGAGGAGTGACACGAAAGGAGAACCTGCCCAGGGCATAGAGTCTCCGCATAATATGTGTGGGTGGCGACTAGACCATCACCCAGCCGGTAGCCAGCTAATTGAAAGGAAAGCATGCTGTCGGTGACACCTAGCCAGCCAACTCGATGGGTAAAATCCTCCTCCCCCCCACTCCCCACCCCACCACCCCCCCTTTCCCTTGGCCCAGTCGAAAAATAACCAAGCTGGCAGACTCGACGACATATTGTTTGGTGGGCTTCTAATGCCACCCAAGCGACCCAAAGAGGTCCAACACTTCAGGCCGCGAGATCCAAATACACTTCCGTCTCTGCACATCAGCACGCAGCATTTGACATTCCAGGCGCAGCATTTGACATTCGGCGAGCAGCTGTGCACATTCGGCGCGGAGCATTGCTGGTGTTCTCTTTTCTTCCTGAGCTCTCGAGCTTACAAAAGCTCTAAAACTATGGCTGAATTCTCTACCCCCTCTCCCTTTTACATAAATAACCTCCAGCCTCTAGGTTTATTATTTTATTATTCCAGTAATCATTGCGCCTTTCATCTCCTCCTTTTCACAAAAGGACTTCTACCGTCTTCATCCAGATAGAATGCCTTATCATTATCGCGGTATCTAGACCACACGTTGCACCAAATACAGCAACAATGACAGCGCGTTCTATTCGGGTGAACATCGTAGGTAAAAGTAGGTAGGTGCAGTTCACAAGTTGTGCCACCTGCCTGTCATCTGCACCTCGTTATAGCAAATGCAGCTCGCGGCAACAAAAAAGAAGCAAAATCTCTTTCGGGAAAAAAAAAAAAAAAAAAAAAACTAAACATCAGACTGATATTATTTCTGTTCATCATTTGATTGCATCCGGTTCGGTTCGGGCTTGGGTCGGCATTTCACAAGTACCTTCTTCCCGCGAATACAACGTACGGTCACTATAGCTGTATTTGAGGCATCTTTCAGTCTAGATACAGCTAAAATGACCGTACATTATAGCTGTATTTGAGGCATCTTTCAGTCTAGATACAGCTAAAATGACCGTACGTTGTATTCATGGGAAGAAGGTATAGTCCATTGGTGCACCAACTGAGCTACCGTAGGCCCGTCGGGGCCCATCGACTTTTCTCCTCACAAGATCGGCCGAACGGGGACAAAAAGACAAACGCTGTGAATTTCAAGAAAAAAAAAAAAGAAAAAAAAAAAAAAA